CATCTGCCAGCCAGTCCCAGTTCCTCGCCTCCGTCACCACTGGACTTTTTCGAATCTGATGCTGCCGCCATCAAGCGCACCTTGGCTGCCGCTGACGCCACGCACCCTGTGTTTAACATCGACTCCTTCGGCACGTGGAACCGCGCCCCCCACCACGGCGCGTTCTCTTGCGGCACCAGCTCTGACTTCAACGCTGCCTCGCGCAAGGGCTCCCTCACGGAGTGGTTCTCCACTGCTCAAATAGACTTACATTGCGTCACGGCCGGTGCGATTTGGAACCCGCACAGCGAATGTCTTTTACATTTGACGGCGGTGACTTGTTTGCTGGCCCTCGCGCGGCTCAGCTGCACAACGCTTTCCGGATTTGACAAGACTGGAGAACCTTTTACATCGATACCACGGAGGGCATTACCGCGCTGTGCATCTCTGCTGAAAAATCGCCCAAACTGGTTCGCCGAGAAATTCAATCGGGGAGCCTATCGCCGCGGAGTTGCCGCTCATCTTCCCTAGGACACATCGCCCCCTGGGCTACCTCTCGTTCAACAGCGCCGTCGTCAAGGCTCCCGCTGGCGACTCCGCCTCTGGCCCCTCTGTGGCTCCGTAGCATGATGACGATGCCCCTGCTGGCAGCCCCCCCCCCCCGTGCTGACGCGCAGCTCGGAAATGAACTCGAAGCTGACTTCGCGGACCGAAAGATTTCAGCGCATTGGCAATAGCAGCCGATGGTCGTCATGGTGGACCAAGCCTTCCAGAGAAGGCCTCGGCGTCGCCCCCTGGAACTCACGGGCGCTACTTGGTCGGTCCGCTGCCAGGATGCTCCCGGCCGCGTAGCCGAGCTTCGCGCGCAGCGCGCCGCCCGGGCATTCGAGGCCGCGGCCTTCAACGTGCACGACCACGGGTTTTCACCAGAGGACAAAGCGAAGTCCCGCGCAGCGTGGCCCGCTGCTAGGGCTCGCGTCTCCGCCCACCCGGACACCAACAACGCCATCGTCGTAGGCGGCTTCAACATTCCTGACACCCCGCCTACGAACATTGTGCGACCTATCGATGCCAGCGCTGCTGCTCGGTGCCACCATCGACCCACCGACTGGAAGAACATGTTCAGCTCGGTCGCGGAAGTGGCCTTGCCCTCGCCCACCCATCGCTGATCCGCATTGCCGACCGCTGCTTCGTCTCGGCCGACTTCTACAACATCCCCCACGCCGAGTCCCCGTTCACTGTCAACTGCCGCCCGCTAGAAAAAGACTGGCGAGCACTCCAGCGACCGCGAGGTACTCCATCTTCGCGCGCGCCCTCGGGCCCAGGAACCTCCTGCCGAACGATGCATCCCTGCCTTCAGATTCGAACCGTCGGCGCTTCACGTTCACCGCTACGAGCTCTACGTTCAGCGTTTCACTGACAAGATCGGCCCCGCGACGTCGGCGGCGCAGAAAGCTCGCGACGCTACCGTCCAGGTCAAACCGTCGGAGCTGGGAGGTCCTGACTCCGTCTCCATCAGATGAGCGCCAGCCATGGCCCTCCGCGGCATCGCCAGAGTGGCATGGCGCTAAGACTTTCGCCGTGCTCGCACGCTTGCCGCCGACGCCCCTGCCGGCGCCGACCACCCCCGCGTCGCGAACGATTAGATGAGCACCATCGAGCCGAATCCCTTCGCATCCGGCGCGGGCGCTGCCAACGCTGCGGCCAGCGAAGGATGACGCCAGCAAGCCGCCGGTGGACCACGGGCAGCCCGCCAGGATAACGACGCACAGTTGGGCGACCAGGGGCGGCAGCGCGCCCGCCCCGAAGGGCGGGGGGTCGAGCTCTGCAAGCCCTTCGCCAAACGAATCTGCCTTGCTGGCGCCCGCGTCGCGACTCGGGATCGCCGCCGCGCGGTCGCTCGCGCGATGTCCATGCGCGGCGCGACGCAGCTCCATTTGAATATGGCACGGACCGCCAAGATCGCCGACAAAGAGGTTGCACCGCTACCTCGACAGCATATTTCCCCGCCGCCCCCGACGAAGATCTTTCTCTGCCTGGGCCACGGGGCCTTCGCGACGCAGCTCGGGAAGGCAAGCCGCTGCGCGCCCGGACGGCCTGCCCCGCTGCGCCCGGCTCAACCCCCTCGGCAGCTTCGACGCGCTCGCCGGACTCGCGCACTCCATCGCCGACGGCGGCCCCACCCCGTTCGACCTGCACTATTTGCTGATAGCCATGCTTCCCAAAGACAACATGCCGCGAGCCCGTGCCCCCACATGCTTCAGACCTTTGGCCGTAAAATTACGACGCCAAGCTCATCGCATCCGTGCCCAAACGCAGCGTGCACTTCATCGCCGCGCAGTCCGCCGCCGAACAGCAAACATTCGTCGACGGCAGGCAGTTCCTGAACAGCTTCGTCGTCGTTGGCTCGCGCAGCCGACAGATCAGCATCGCTGAGGGCGCGTTGGACACCGCCCCCTGCTTCACTGGCATGGACATCGTCGTTGCCTCTTCCTGGCCCCCTTCGCGATTGGCTCTGCAGGGTCTCCAGTCCATGGGGCGCGCGCGGACCGATGCTCGACCTCCTGCGCGTCTGCCGCCACTTGCCCATCGCCTTCTTCGAGCTCGGCGGCGCCGGAGGGCCCCCCTTCGTCGCTGAGTCTGGCGCGGACCTGGGCCGTCCGCTCAGCGGCGCGGCATGGGCGCTCACGTTCGACCCGGTCGTCCGCGGCTGCGAACAGGAGATCGACGGCGTGAGTCGTGGCCCCGCTGGCGCGCGCGCCGACGACTTGGGTGGTCCTCGTCTCGCTCAGGGACATGGATTAGCCGTTCCCGCGCGCCCGAGCTGCCCGACGATTTGCTGGGCCGCGTCGCCCGCAGCCGGGGGGCGCATCATCTTGCCCATCCGGGCACCCCCAACACCTTGCATCGCGAATGCGATGCATCTTATCTTCGGACAGATCTATGTACCATGGCAAGAGTTCAGCCATGTCCAGCACCTTGGCACCTACGTCGGCCCTCCGGCGGCGCCTCTGACCACCCAATGGCGTCCGCCAGCAGGCAAGCGGTAGGATCGAGCTCGAATCCCACGTGCATCGCGCATCGCTCTGCAGCAGAGCATGAAGCTCTACGGCGTGACCGCCATCGCCTGCTTCCCATGCACTGGCCAGCTGCGCCCGCATTCATCGCGCTTCCTTTCCGCAGTACTACACGCACTACACAAACTACCTCGAGCTGCCCACTCGAGCTTCACATCAATGGACTTCTTCTCTTTCAAAATCTGGGCCCGCGCCGGAGGCCCCCGCCCCGGGGGGTCGAGGCGCCCCTCTGGGCCGCAGCGCGGCGCGCGACCACGGCGACGCTTGCCAGCTTGAGGCCCCGCCAACCAGGACACCGTGCTACCGATGAAGAAATGTTCCCCATCGCCCAGATCGAGGCTGGCCAACGGCGCGCCGACTGCTGGGATGTTAAAATCTGATTGCCCAGAGGTTCGAGACCGCCATCGCAGGCCTGCTTTATCCGACACGCATGGGCTCGCTTCCCAAATTTCGCAAGCGATCGGTGGCCACTTCCTCGCATGCGGAAAAGGTAATGGCATCAGCGCATCCCCCGCGCCGCTGCTGAAGGGCGACTCGCTGTCCTTCTCAGTCGCTGTACCCCCCCTGGTGCTGACGTCGGAAAAGGAGCTGGCAGTGGCAAAGACAAGGGCGCCAAGACGCCACAGCAGAGCTACTTCCCGGAACTCCAGCGGCTCCTGTGCGCCGGGAGTTCTGGCATGGCCATCCCCGAACGCATCGAAGCCCAGCTCCCAGCTGCGAGGCCCCACGCGACGTGCGACGGCGACGACGCCCAACGACGAGGATTCGCACTTAACGCCCCCATCTTCGAGCAGAACCTTCCGCCCCAGATATGAGCGACCGAGCCGATGCATGGGCAGCGGCCTGGTTCCCCGACATCTTTCTGGACCTCATGATCAACGATCAGGACGACTGGGTGAGATGGCGCGCCCCGCAACTCACGGAAATCCTACGACGGCCCCAGTTTAACGCAATCTGCGGTGGACAGCGAGATGCAGAACACCGACATATGTGAACTGGCATGGTGCACAGCCGTGGGCAAACATCGTCGGACCATCACGCGCCTGGCCCCTCGCCTTCCTGCTGCTGCTTCCCGCCAACGCGCTGCCGAAGCTGATGAATATCGAGCCCGCAGGCGTTGGATCACCGCTGAACTTCCTGTCCTGAAGTCTACACGAACGATGCCGAGCCCGGCATCGAAGCGGAGGGGCATGCTGGCCTGATCCGCGCGACGGACTAGCCTCGCCGTCTCGCTGCCGCATGAGATCTTGTCCGCAGCCACCTGTCACGAACTCCACCCTTGCAGATCTAGCCAGCTCTGAAAATTTCGGCTGGTGTGTTTTCGACAAGCCGCCGGCTGGTGTGTTCTCGACAAGACGCCGCGTGCCCATGAGTCATGCAAAGCTCCCGCAGTTCTTCGGCTGCCCGAGCGACCACCGGCTCCCGAGCAACATCGATCACATCGCGCACGCTTCACCTGTCCGAGGACGTGGCCACACCTCTGCCAGCCTCGTGTCGTTGTCGCATCGGTCCTGCTGACATGCCTCGGCCTCAGCGGTGAGATCCACGGCGGAGAGAGGAACATCGACCGCTCCGTCGCGAGGATGGCCGCCGCGCTCAAGACCAGCTCCATCCGCGTCAACAGCCCGACTTCCAGCCACGAGGCCAGGGCCGACATCTACAACATCAACCTGGGCGCTATTGCCGCCGCTCGTCGCGCGCTGAGGCTTCTCCCGTGCCGCGTCGGCGGCGCGTGGTCGAAGCGGCGCCAGGAGCTAACAGACGTTTTGAGTGGGACGTTCGCTCCCTTTCTTCCTCTTCCTCCTCCTCCTCCTCCTCCTCGTCTTCCTCCTCCTCCTCCTTTTCCTCCTCCTCCTCTTCCTCCTCCTCCTCCTCCTTCTCCTCCTCCTCCTCCTCCTCCTCCTCCTCCCCTCCCCGTCCGTCCTCCCCTCCCTCCCTCCCTCCCTCCCCCCTTCCCTCCTTCGCTCCCCAATGCCGATGGCGGTGGCCCGGCGGCCCTCCGCACTGACAGCACGGCCGCGGACCAGCGCCGACGGGCTGGACTTTCCGCAGCTCTGCGAGGCCATCGGGGGACGTCCTTCTGAAGGGTCGATTGTGCGTCACGAAAATATAGGCACAGACGCACGCCGACGATTTTTGCATGTACCTTCAGGGATGGGGGGGGCGGCGTAGAAAGCCGATGGAGGCCAAGAGTGATTTATACGCTGGCGTCCCCCCCCCATGAAACCCAGAAACAACCAGCAATCCACTGGAGGGCGTCTGTGCAAATGTCTTGGTGGCGGCGATGGCTCCTCAGGCCCCCTCGAAGTACAACTGTTTTCCCTCGCCGGTCCCCTGGGACGGTCCAAAACGATCCAGGATGGAATGCCGGTCCCGTGGAACGGGTCGACACCGCAGGGGGTCGACGTTTTGAACAAATCATGGTGTCGGGGGCTCGGGTCGAAGGATCGAGGGCTCGCAGGCTCGTCCGAACAGGATCAAGGTACGAGGGCACCGATACCGCTGGCCGTCCTTCGTTTTCACCCTGTTGGGCCTCCTGGGGGGATCTCCCCGCCACGGCTGGACTCGCTTCGGCATGTTGTTCAAAATGCGTTCGGGGAGAGTTCTGGGGAGCAGCGGTATCGGTCTCTTTAGGTGTCCTCAAGCTCGATGGTTCGAAGGCGCGGAGGTTTGACGGATCGTAGGCTCGAAAGCCCACAGGCTCGAAGGTTTGAGGATCGAGGGTGTGGCAGCGGAGGGAGGCAGGGTTTCCAGCAGTTTCGCGAGGCATCGGGGGACGCCGCCGAGTGGCGGAGGGCCCTCGGCGGCTCGAAGGTTAGAGGGATCGAGTGTCGAGGGCGTGGAGGACCGAGAATCGCTGCCTTGGCAAGCTTGGTCCGTCTCGAGCCTCTCGAGTCTTCCGGAGGCCTCCCGCCGTCGTCCTCGTCGTCATCGTCGTCGTCGTCGCCGCCAGGACGACGACGAGCGATCTCCCATTTCTTCGGTAGCAAATGATGGGAGCCTGGTAACCCTCTCAATTCCGTCTTCAGTGTCGACTGGCGTCTGGGAGTCGATGCGACGGCGCCGATTTAGCGTCGATTCGCGTCGATTGACGTCGATTGTCGCGTCGATTTAGCGTCGATTAGCGGGACTAGCATCGACTAGCGTCGATTCGCAAGAGCCGACAAGATGGTGTGGGAGGCTCCCACGAGTTGCCAGCGAACATGTCTTCAATTGTTCCCTTGCTCCCCGTCCCCCTCCTGCTCGTCCTTCTCGCCCTCCCTCGGCCCCTCCTGCGTCTGCTGCTGCCTGCGCCTTCACCTCCCCCCTGCTCCCCCCTCTTGGTCGTTGTCGTCGTTGTCGTCCCTCGTCGTCGTCGTTGTCGTCCCTCGTCGTCGTCGTCGTCGTCGTCGTCGCCGCCGTCGTCGTCGTCGTCGTCGTCGTCGTCGTCGTCGTCGTCGTCGTCGTCGTCGTCGTCGTCGTCGTCGTCTCGCCGTCGTCATCGTTGTCGTCGTCGTTGTCGTCGTCGTCGTCGCCGCCGTCGTCGTCGTCGCCGTCGGCTTCGCCAAACGAACAAATCCTGGCGGCCAGTTTTTCAACGTTGTGGGCTTCGGGGGAGCCACTCCCCCCACCCACCCATCCGGGGACCAGCAGAAGACGGCCGAGGACGAAAAAATCGCCCCAGGGAAGGGTTCGGGATCCCATGGGGGCACAGGTCACGAGGAGAGCGCGGCACCGCAGGAGACTCGGGGGCGCCCCCACGGTCGCCCCCGGGCTACTCGGGGGTCTGCTGAGGCCAGCCAGGGCCAACTCGGGGGGCTGTCCGAGCGCAGCCTCGAGACGCACCAGTAGACAAGGGAGCATGGCGCGGGGGACGAGGACGACGAGGAGACCTCCTCGTCCCTCCTCCGTCTCCTCCTCCTGGAGGACGGAGGAGGAGGACGACGAGGAGGACGAGAAGGAGGAAGCATCAGGGAGGGGAGGGGAGGGGGGGCGAAGGGGGGGAAGGAGGTGGAGGAGCGGCAGCGGCAGGAGGATGAGGAGGAGGAGAAGGAGGAGGAGGAGGAGGAGGAGGAGGAGGAGGAGGAGGGCAGGAGAGGCTCTGCCTCGGCTCCGCGAGGCCCTCGAGGCCTCCGCGCTCACCGAGCTGAATCTCGCGGGCGCCTTCATCGGGTCGCGGGGCGCTGGGGGAGGGTCTTGGAGGGTGTCATTCGAAGATGGACACACGCCAGTAACATAAACTTATGGCGCTCCGCGCGGGCTTCTTGGCTCCGAGCTGAGCCCCCCCTGCGGCGCCTCCGACGCCGCCCCAGTCCAGCGCAGATCCAAGAATCCGTGCGGAGCGCCAACAATCTATGTTTATAGCGTTGTTATTCTTCTAGTCATGGGGGTGCCGTCGCCGCTTCCCACCCCCCTTTCGCTGGGCCCCGTCCCCCAAGCGAGCCAGCCAACGCGAGCGAGCAGCGTGGCAGTGGAGTCGAAGGGAAGCCCCCTTTGATCCCTTCCCCCCAGGGGGGGGGGAGGGGGGGGGGGGGCCGCGATGCGATCGACTTCGGGCGCGCGGCACCGACCGAACCGCTGCTGCTGGGAGGCTCGTGCCGCTTTCGGTGCGGCGGCAGCGCGGGCGCGCACGGCCGAGGCTCGCCGCCGGCTTCCAGGGATCAGGAGAGAAAGAAGGACGTACACGTACATGAATCCACTCAGAGCAATTGTTTGTATAACGCGGCCGGTCTCGCGGATCGAGGGGCCGTGTTCATGTACATAGCTGGGCGCGTACGTCCTTGGTGGGTTCCCTAGGGGAGGCCTCCGGCTGGGGCGGCGGAGAGGTCGCTCGGGACCGAGCGGGGCGTCACGCGCCTTGGCCGAGGCCACGGCCCACGCGCACGCGCACACGGTACGGAGGCCTGCCGCACACGCGGTCGCCTCCCAAGGAGGGCGGCTCGCTGCCCTCGCCCACGGGACCAAAAGTGGCTCTCTCGGCTTCGCTGCGGCGCGCGTGCTGGCAGGAGGCAGGGCCGTGCCATGGCTGAGTCTGCTCAGGCCTGTCTGACGACGCGGGGTGTCTGCGACTCTGCCGATCCGGGCATCGAGCACGTCGGGCTCGAGATCGTCCGCTGTTGTACTGTGGAGCGGCTCATCCGTTCAAGGGGCTCGGTTGATTTGAGGGGGCATCGTGTCGCAGGCAGCGTCTCTGCCCACGTCTCCAAGCTCCCTGAGAAAGAGAAACCTGTGACATCAGAAGAGACGGGGAACTTGGGGATACACCCCCGGGAGGCTATTCGGACGCACCCTGATCGAGGATTCGCGACCCCCATCGTACATCCCTAGGTTTGGCCCCAAACTGCTGGGCCTGTCGATCGTCCCACGAAGTCGGGGATTTGGGATCACCACTTCTCTTGTTACCGCGGGAAGGAATTATATCCACGGCCTCGCCTTCCCATGGACATGGACCGGCTATGCACGGATGTCCCGCGCACACCGTTCACAGGATCGCGTGCCCACGGGACTGTTCCTCGGGAGCCTGACCGCGAGGGCATGGATGTTCCGGTAGCAAACGCAATTCCGTCTTTAGCGTCTGGGAGTCGATGAGATAGCGCCGCTTTAGCGTCGGCTTGCGTCGATGAGCATCGATTTAGCGTCGATTAGCGTCGACAAGCGTAGATCAGCGTCAATTCGCAAAAGCCGACAAGATGGTATGGGAGGCTCCCATGAGTTGCCACCGAAGGATGTGCACGTGTTCGTCGCTTGTAGTGGTCGGCTTGGCTGTGCAAGAGGCCCTCCGATCTGACACAGACCTCCGACGTCGTGTTTGTGTTCACCACGTCGGGCATGTCCTCCTACAGGCGGATTTCAATAGAAAATTAAACTTATGCAAGACATAGTCAAAACTAATTCAAAGAGGGCAGAAAATCGCCCCAATATTTGTATGAACGTATCTTGGATATTCCTCCTGTAGAGGGACATGCCCGACTTAAGACTTCACCCCGAGTCATTTGGTTCACAATCCCGACGCCCGAGAAGGGCCCTTGGGTCCGAAAATAGCGAAAAATCTCGTCGTGGCCAGGGGGAACCGAAATATGAGTATGGAAGCACTGAGTACACAGCAGTTCTTGATCATCCTGAACCGGATTCTCTGGCGGCGACGCCGCGGTCGTTGTCCACATGAGTCCCGAGCCCCCCTGCCCAACAGCGGCCGCCGCCTTTTTTCGGCAGCGAGCGAGGGGGTGAGGTGAGAGGAAGAAGGTTGTCTCAGAAGGCTCGGAAGCCCCCCCGGCCTTCCGAGAAGTCTCCTCGGCCTTCCCCGAAGACGCAGGAAAGCTTCTCAGCAGGCGCGAGGGCTTCCGAGAAGGCCTGCCGCCCTCCGAGGCGGGCTTCTCCTTCTCACTTCCCCCCCTGGGCGCGCCGCCGAGTTCAGCGTTCGGGCCGTAGATCGGGTCTCCGGCGGCCGTTCGGGACGATCCGGGCACCCCCGCAACGCCCTCGGCGAGGCGCAGCCGCTGGAACGCATCCCGAGGGCGGAAAACCGCCCAGCACCTGCGAAAACGCCTGAAAACCTAGAACCTCGAAGTCCTAGAACGCTGCTGACTCGTTGCGACCCCTCGCTCGCCGCCGCCTCCTGCCGGTCCCACGCTTTGCTGCGGGGCGCGCCCGCGGCTCCCGGTGCCCTGCTCCTCGGCGCCCCGGGGAGCCTGGGCGTGCACGGCCCCGCAGGTCGAAGTGGCCCGCCCTCGCCAGGGTCCTCCAGGAGAGCCGGAGCGTCACGGCCTGCGACCTCTCGAGCAACGCCCTGGGCGACACCGGCGCGGAGCTCGTGGCCCGGGTGCTGGAGGCCTCGGCGCGATCCTCGGCCTCTGGGTTCGAGGTTCGAGGTCTCTCTCTCTCCACAATGTTTCGGCGGCGGAGGTGTCGATGCTCGAGCCTCGCTCGATCCTCGATCCTCGGCCGAAGTAGATCCTCGGTTTTGGGGGTGCCCGCCCCCTGGAGCGTCAGAGAACTATCTGGGATCAAGAGAGGCAAGGTGGAGCCCCTTGGAGGGGTCCAGGGACCGAGTTTGACTGCTGTCCTCATCCTCCTCCTCTCTTAATTACTCGTCCTCCTGCTCTTCCTGCTCCTCCTCCTCCTCCTCCTGCTCCTGCTCCTCCTCCTCCCGATTCACAGCGTTCATTTCAGCTCGTACCAATCTTTCCCTCCTCCTCCTCCTCCCGACCCTGCCGCCCAGCTGCAAAGAGCTGGGGCCTGGGCAGAGACGGGACGGCCTCCTGCGCTCGACTCCTCCTCCTCCTCCTCCACCTCCTCCTCCTCATCCTCCTACTCATCCTCCTTTCCTTATCAAACTCCTCCTGTCTTCTCATCCCCCTGTTTCTTCTCTCCTCCTCCACCTCCTCCTCCTCCACCTCCACCTCCTCCCCGTTCTCCCCGTCCTCCTACTTCTCCTCCTCCTCCGTCTTCACCTCATCCTCCTCATCCTCTTCCTCCTCCTCCTCCTCCTCCTCTCACTCACTCTCCTCGTCCTCTTCTCCCTCCCTTCTGCGCAGAAGAACCGGCGCCGCTCGGTCGCTCTCTCTCTCTCTCTCCCTCTCTCTCTATGGTTATATATATACACAGGTATGTATGCTTCTGTCTCACTCTACATATACATAAATGTTGAGAATGCACATATGCATATACATATATATACGTGTGTGTACGTGTACATGTTCCCCTCTCTCTATTTCTCTATAGAGTCCTGCCTTCTTCGTTCGCTCTCTCTCTCTCAGTATATGTCGCTGCTCTATTGTTGTTTCTCTCTCTCTCTCTCTGTATCTCTCTCTTTCTCTATATTTATATCTCCCTGTCTTGGTTGCTCGTCCGTTATCATTATCTCTCCCTCTCTCTATCTAGTTGTCCCTCTCTCTATCTTTCCTTCCCTCTCTCCCAATGTGTATATGTATAAATATGTGTGTCCCAATGTGTTAATACGTTTCTATGTAGTTATGTTTTTCTCTCTTTCTCTCTCTCTCTCTGTCTCTCTCTCTCTCTCGCTCTCTCTCTCTATCTCTTTGTTTGTTCTCTCTCTCTCTCTCTCCCTCTATATATAGCGTCTTGATGCTCAACGGCACTCCGCGCAAGATCCTTTCGCAGGTCAAACTGGTCGGCGGCTATATCAAGGTCGCGCCCGATCCCGCACCAGAAGAGCTCAACCTCCGCATCACGGCGGATGGCCGCGTGAGGCGGGCCATCGAGCGCTTGTACCATGCTGGCCCCGGCTCTTGACCGGGGTGGACGGGCGCGCCAAGGCCGCCCGTTCCTCGGCGGCCCGCACGCCATGCACCACGGGACTGGCATCCAGACGCCCAGTCAGCCATGCGAGGCTGCCTACCGCCGCCCCATTCGGTGCTATTCGGCCCAAGGGGCGATGCTGAATATCCTTGTGGATGCTCCTCACCGCCTACACGTCCAGCCACGCAGTCGAGCTGCAGGCCATTCCACAGCGAGAGGTTATCCTCAACCTGCGCCATCAGGTAAAGCGAGGCAACAGTCTTGAGTGTACGGTCGAAGACATACGCATTCACGTGGCGGCCCCGTCGAGCTTATGTGGCAGACCATTGACCAATTACGCTGTCACTGGCCATCGTTCGGCACCCTGCAGGACGATTCGGGAACACCCTTCTCTCGGCTAGTCCTGCCAGTGGGCCTGCTGATGAACTATGTCCGCGCCTCACAGCGCCGAGCGCTTCTGCACAACATGTCCACCACGCGCTACGACTTCGGCGCTCTCCCAGCTGTCCGCCAATGCATCGGCATGTTTTCCACTACATGGGTAGCCCGCGCGAAGGGGAAGATACATGTTCATCATGGCAGAAGGGCCTCCTCTACAACTACCTGGGCGGGGGTGACCACGCCATCTGGTGCTGCCCCTGCTGGGCGTCCGAAGGCGTGGCCCTGACCAACCTGGTCACGGACGGCCAATGGAAAACACTCCCACCCCACACGCGCCACTGTGGTACCCTCGAGGAGGACCCCGACTTCCGACTGAGACTTGCAGTTGCCGCCAACTGGGAAGTGGCCCTCAGTCGCCGCGTCGGGCAGTCTCCCCACTGCCACGGCTGCGATGCCTAAGGTCGATCCTCCGGCATCGGCCGCTCGTACTCCACCATGCCATCCGCCACTTTCACTACCAACGCGAACATAGCATCCTCGCTGATAGCCACTGCCACCACGTGGTACCACCAGCTCCAGGGCCAAGGGGAGAATCACGACGGAAACCCGCGGCACGGCATTGTGTCGCACGTTGGACTCAGAGTACGGCGCGGAGCAGCACGACCGGTACCATTAGCACAGCACTGTGCTCCGCAACCAGACCCAGCATCGCAATACAATGTTGTTTTCTCGGGGCGGAAGTTTGGGTGCACCATCTCAGAGCTATGTGACATCGGCGACATCCCAGTGACATTTGTCAGCGACGCTATCTGCGTGACATCTAACATCGACGCTGACATTTGGCATTTGTCATCGATTACGCTAGCGCCGACCCGTCGCTTACACCAGCACCGACCCAAGCACCGACGCCAGCACCAAAGCTTGAGCCTAAGCCAGCACCAACGCCGGTGCCTGCGCCAGCGCCGACGCCAGCCCCAACGCATGCGTCGACCATCTTCTCCTACAAAGGGGCGACCACCAGCGAGACGGAGACAATTGGAGCGGCCACCACAGCAGGGACTACAAATGAAGTAGGGGACGAGGAGTCGCACACGACGTCTGAGACGACTGGAGCCTCTACTCTTTTTCCCAGCCACGAGGTGGGCACCAGCGAGGCGGACAGTAGGGACGACGCCAGCTCCAACGCTGGTTCCTAAGATAGCGCCGACGCCAGCGTCTACACCAGCACCGACGCCAGCACCGTGCGCCTACGCCGGCACCGACGCCGTCGCCTACACCAGCACCGACCCCAGCCCCGACGCCAGCACCAGCGCCTAAACCCCGCTCTCCGGTGCATGACTGCGTGTTCAGAGTTGTTGTTTTCCTGTCGTGTGTCTGCGGGTCGGCCCTCTCGTGCTAGGCTCAAGCTCCGGGCGTGCATGACTGCAGGGCGTCGTGGCCCCGAATTTGTCACCATCTCAAAGATTTTAGCTGCTGTGGTAGATACAGCGCTGCGCTCCTTGCAGTCCCTCGCTTTGCATTGCAGGGGGTGTGGCGACTTGTGGAGCCTCCAGCTGTGAACAGGTCGCGGCCGTGATCTTCGTTTTCCCACTCTGCTCCCTCGCTTTCTCCTCTTTCCGCCCTCTCCTCCGCCTAGGGGTCGATAGAATCGCGGGCGTAGTTTCGCTTCGTCTGCACCTGTCCGCTGATGTCCGAAGTTCGCGCTCCTCCCTCCGTCCCCTCCTCACTCCTCCCTCCTGGGTTGGCCGCAATTGCCGCGCTGTCCTGCTTTCTTGGAGTGGCCTCTTGGGGCCGCGGGGGGTGGTCGCACCGCGCCCTTGCCCCTTCTCCTGCTGCTGCTGCCTCCTGCCGCTGCTCCTCCTTCGTCCTCTGCACGGGTCTCACTCTGCCCTCCTGCATGGCCTGTGCCTGCCGTTGGCTGTCGCGCGCTCTCCCAGACACGGGCGAGGCAACGAGGTGTTGGCGGAGTCTTGCGCTGGCTGTTTCTTCGTGTAACCAGCAAGCTTGCCTTTGGCTTGTGCCTGCAGTTGGCTGTCGCGCGCTCTCCCTGACACGGGCAAGGCAACGAGGTGTTGGCGGAGTCTTGCGCTGGGCTTTTTCTTTGTGTACTCCAGATTTCGTAATAAAAGGGAGGGGGTCTCAACCCTCCCAGACGAGAAGTTTTAGACCCCCCCCCGTGGGAGAACCCTCGAAAGCATCGTCCCCAGACCCCCCCAGGCCCTCCAAGATAGCCTGGAAGAGACCCCCCCCGAAATGAGACCCCCCTCCCTTTACTACGAAATGAAGTTCGGCCTCCGCGCCCTCCGCCTCTATTTGAAAGCCGTCGAGGCCGAGGATAAGAAACTCAAACTACTTAAGGGGGGGGTACTTTATTATCGTGGGTTCGGGGTTAATCAACAAGCTTGCCTTGGCCTAGCCCGTGACCACCCCCGGCAGGGCCCGAGGATGTCCCGCTCCAGAAGCGCCAGGGCCCACATTTTTGTTCCGCCGGCCGGCGGCGAGGCAGAGGCAGTCCGCTCCAGCGCGCGGTTGTCCGGCGTGCAGGCCTCCTCCTCCTCCTCCTCCCCCTCCTCCTCGTCCTCCTCCTCCCCCTCCTCCTCCTCCTCCTCCTCCTCCCCCTCCTCCTCCTCCTCCTCCTCCTCCTCCTCCTCCTCCTCCTCCTCCTCCCCCTCCTCCTCCTCCTCCTCCTTCAGGGAGGCACACAATGCCCAGGGTGGCCGCGCGGGGGGGAGGGGGGAGGGGAAGGCGCTATGACGTGGAAGGGTTCCGCGCCGAGCAGGCCTGTGCGGCCAGCCGGGGCAGCGAGCACCGTGGCAGCGGCCACGAGGCCGCACGCGCTCGGGCCCGCGGGGTGCGCGCTGCCACGGACGGGGGCCTGCACCAGCCGGGCCCACCCGCGGCCGGCGGGGGCCGCCGACGGTGTCTTGCATGGGCTGGCCGAGCCAATGGGCGCACGATGACGCACGATGACGCACGACGACGCACGACGACGACGACGACGAGCGTCCCTGCTCTTCTACCCCTGGTGGCCACCGCCGAGCGCCCTGTCCACGTTCCACGTCTTCGTCGACAGCCAGGCGACCCGCGGCGGTGGCGGAAGGCTCCCTCGGCTGTTTTGATGGCCACCCAGCCCTTCCTGCTGGTGCCCACGCAGACCAGTGGGCCCCAAACCACCAGGCCCTCCAGGCCAAGCCAGACTTCTTCCGCGTTGAACAGATTGCCAGCCACCTCGCAGAAGAAGGTGCGGAGCAAGGGCTCATCGCAGTCACCGCCGCATGTTTCAAGCGTAAGTCGATCCGACGAGCCGGCCAAGCTGGCCGTCCTCCAGCACACGCTCACCCATGAGGCCGTCGCACGCGCCAGGTGCCGCCACCGGCTGGCTGTGCCCCTGCACACCACCGCAGCGGCCACCTGCGACAAGCGGCCTCATTCTTCCGCCCCGCATCGCCGTGCGGGCTATACGCCAGGGGAGCTGCGGGCCATCGGCCCCACCTCTCTCCAGGTGGCTTCCCACCACCTCCACCTGGAGGCCCACCACGGCCACCTCCGCCGCCAGGAAGCCAGGCCGGCCCCGATGGATGAGGGATCCCCGACGACGTCGACCCTTTCGATGGCCCCCTCAGAGGACGCCTCGACGACGAAGGAGAGGACCCCTTCGGTTTAGGAGGCTCCCTCGACAACCACGGAGAGGCTGCTGACGACGGAAGCGGACCTTGCGATGGCCAGCCCCGCTCGGACAGCTTCACCGTGGGCGTCCAGGGGCTTTGCATCCTTATCGCGCATCCTTACCATCAGTTTTGACTGCAACCCCGTGCCTCATAGCCTCTTGGGCCCAGCATGCGGGCAATATTTATATCCATAGCCAGGGCGTCTTGGACTTTCGTGGAAGGGGCGCCGCAAGGCCGAGGCGCACTGGATACACATAAAATTCGAGCCTCCAGTTGGGCCCTGATTTTTATCCATATCCAGTGCTCCTCGGCCTTCTGGGGAAGGGAGTGCGAAACCCCAAGCTGCAGCGGATATGGACACAAGTTTTGCCCGCACAGCAGCACGGCCACCGACCCCCTCGGCGCCGCGACCACCACAAAAGCTCCGAGTGTCGCTCTCGCCCTGGTGGCCCTCGCCCGGGAACACCCCCCCCGTGGCCCCCCCCCCAACGGGTCGTTGGGCTTGGCGGCGACGGAAGGGGGGGAACGAGAAGGCGGGGGCCTCCTCAGAAGGTTCGGACGTCCCCGGCCTTCTGAGAAGTTTGCTGAGCCTTCCCCGAAGACGAAACAAAAAACCTCTCTCAGCAGGCGCGACGGAAGGGGGGAAACGAGAAGGAGAGGGCTTCTTCAGAAGGTTCGGACGTCCCCCGGCCTGCTGAGAAGTTTTCTGAGCCTTCCTCGAAGACCAAACAAAAGAGACCTCTCTCAGCAGGCGCGAGGGCTTCTGAGAAGTCCAGCCGCCTCCTGAGGAGGCCTTCTCCTTCTCACTTCCCCCCTGGGTGCGCCGAGTTCAACGTTCGGGTCGTAGCTCGGGTCTCCGGCGGCCGGTCGGGACGATCCGGGCACCCCCGCAACGCCCTCGGCGAGGCGCAGCCGCTGGAACGCATCCCGAGGGCGGAAAACCGCCCAGCACCTGCGAAAACGCCTGAAGACCTAGAACCTCGAAGTCCTATAGGTTTTTCCGGGCGCCACCGCGGGGTGGCGGCGGACGGGGCCCGGTGCAGCTCCGGGGGCCCCGCCGGGCGCCGTGGCCGGCCGGCTCTGGCCACCCGCGGCGAGCCCCCGCGGCGCGGCGCCCGGGCGAGCCCAGCGGGGCCTACGGCGGCCGCCGCCCCCCACGGGCCGTCCCCTCCGTCCGCCGCCAGGCGTCGGAGGTGCCCCCTGTTTGTCCGCCCGTGCCCCTCGGGGCCCGCCCCCTGCGCCAGAGCCCCTCGCGCTATGAAGACAGCACGACGGCATTCATGCATGTGTGTTTGTATGTCTGCATGTATGTATGTATGCATGCATGCATGCATGCATGCATGCATGCATGCATGCATGCATACATACGTTCATACATGCATGCATGCATGCATGCATACATACATACATGCATGCATGCATGCATGCAGACATACAACCACACATGCATGCAGGTAAACGTACATGCATGAATGCATGCATGCATACATACATGCATGCATACGTACGTACACACACATATGCATATAAACATATATGAGTTCTACATGCCGCTTTACATATGTAGATATGACATAATTCGGCCTCTGGGGGCCATTACCGGGCCTCGGGGCAAATTTGTTTGACGCGTTCTGTTTATATACACATATATATAGGTATTAAAACAACGGCCTCCGGAGGCCCTTATCGGGCCTCGGGGCCGTCAAAAAACGACTCGGGGTGAAAAGCCCCTCCCGGGGAAGGGGTCCAGACCTCTGGGGGGCCGACGTCGTGAACAACTCACGACGTTGGGGGTCTGGGTCTGTGGTCCCTGAGACCCCCTGAGCCCCCCCCCCTGCGGCCCCACCTCAGCGCCCCTACAGCTTGTAGCTCCAGGGCCACCCGACAGACGCCCCCGTCTGTGCCAGCGCCTCAACCGCGCGCCTGCCTCCGCGCCCGCTGCCACTCTGCAGCTCGTGCAGCGGTGGTGCAGAAAGCCCGCATCCGAGGGCCAACGCGCTCGCTGCTACTCTTCGAGACCTTCACGACCGCACCGCACCCCTTCTCGAGCGCCTCCGCCGCGCCCAGGCCGCGCTGCACGAGGGAGCTGTCCCCGCCCATGCCCCAGCGGCTGCCCTGCCCTCTGCGGTACAGGCTGCCCCCATGCGGTGCAGGCTGCCCCCTGCGGTGCAGGCTGCCCTGCCCCCCTGCGGTGCAGGCTGCCCCCAGCGGCTCCTTTCCACCGCGGGGAGGGTGGCATGCCAACGCCGCCTATCGCCCACCCCACGCCTTCGCCGATCCCGACCACAGAATCGCAGTGATGCTCCCAGACCCCCTCGAGCTGTGAAAAAGTCACGGCGGGAGGTTTTTCGCTATGTTCTGCCTCTGCGGTCCCTCGCTGGCTCTCGGGACCGTAAAAAAAAACGATTCGGGTTGACAAATCCAGTCCCAGGGAATGGGTCGGTCCTCGGGGAGTCGACGTCATGAAAAAAACATGACGTCGAGGGTCTGGGCTCGGGCCGCCGTGGCGGGTCACGACTGCACAGCCGCGTCAGCAGATGCGCCGGGGGGGACATGTTTTCCGTCAAGACCAGCCGACTATCAAACGACGGCACAAACACATGCATTGTCGGAGGTCTTCGCGGACTGTTGTTGGTCGGCGATGCCACCCCCCCTGGCGGCGCCTCCAGCGCCGCCCCTTGCTCAGGCCCGAGGAACAAGGACACTGCAATCCAGGACTTTGCTATATGCAGCCGGCGGAAACGACGAATGGTGCATGTTTCGACCCGCGGCTGCAGCTCCCCTGGGTGCGCCAGTGTCCTGGTTTGTCAAAACTGTCCCCGTTTCCGAAGCAGGGCCCAGCTCCGACCCAATAAGCCGCGCCGATCTCCGAAAGCGAATGGTTGCGTCGTTTCTGGTTCCTTCATGCACCGGCTTCACTCCAACACACTAATACTATGTGTGCGTCGCCCCCCCCCCTGGGGGCGACGCGCGCACCGAGAAACCTTATGGTATATTCGTCGTGACGGGCGCTTTCTGGACACACCGCTCGGGAAACTACATACTTCAAGATGGGCATACCACATGGTAGGGTCGGACGCGCGCCTCCCAGGAGGACACATTGTACTACTTGGATCGTTGCGGTGGTTGCTAAGGGGATGAGGGGTTTTGAAGTGGTTTAGAAGTGGATGCTAAAGTGGGTTCTACCCGGCCTAACCCAACTTATAAGTGGGTTACACGTGTTCTTGTTGGTTTAGGATGATGAGGTAACTTCGCGAAGTGGGCTCCGCCCACTTAGCCCAGTTTTGTACGCCCTGAGGCCACTTAAGGCACGTGCAGCCCACTTCTACATAGGCTAGTCCCGACAGAACCAACCTGGGCATCCACTTGTATCCCCAGATCTGTACGCCTTTAAGCCACTTAGGGCACGTACAATCCACTTCTGAGCTGGGCTAGGCTGGATATAGCCCACGTTCGCATCCACTTCTACCCCCCCCCTTCCCTTACCAACCACCGCGGTGATCCGAGTAGTATGCCTCTGTGCGCCCCCGAGCAGGCCAACCCTCTCCGCACACTGCGGCTGGGCCGGAACGGCATCGGGCGGAGGGGCGGCCTCGCGCTGAGCGCCGCCCTGGGCCGCGACGAGCACCTCTGCCACCTCGACCTCTCCAACAACGGGTTCGGCGAGGAGCGCGGGTGCCGGTGGCACGCCTCCGGGCTCTCGTGGCATCGCTCGGACGTGCGCATTTAGTTCTTGTGCAGCGGCGGGGACCATCGAGGAGCATCTCGGATCATCTCGCGGAACAAAAACACGCACGACATCGAAAGCTGCACGGGGAATGGACATCCGAGCGGTGGGCAATGGCGCGGATGCCATGATGTTATAACATCGCATTCTCTGCGGTCTGGGAGCTGTCTTTCCCCGGGCTCTGGTGCGAGGGCGCGAAGATGACGGGTCTTCGCGCGGCTCGAAACGCGAAGACGGGGGACCCGTTTTAATCCTACTTCTCCTCATCGTCTCTTTCTCCTCTTCCTCCTCCTCCTCCTAGAGAAACGCTTTGGGAAGAGGCCTCCCTGGCAGCAACCAGTCCTCCAGTCCTAGTCAGAAGCCGACATTTTCTATTATGACGACACGATAGTAATCAACATGCCCCTACTCCACTACAGTTACGGACAGACGGTGGGCGGGGGAATTTGCATACTGTACAGCATACGCACGATGTGGAGACTGGTCACGGACATTGGGAGGGTACCATAATCCAAAGTACTACGTGATATTTCGGGCAAGTGGGCACCAAACCTCAACCTCCATCGAGCACCTTCGGCTCCCACAGCCCGTCTGGTTCAACGACGGCCCAGAAGGGCAAGCGTCGCGCATTAGCGGGGAAATTTCGGAGTGCAGGACGCTGGAGGTTGCCCGTGGCTGTCACGAGCAGCGACAAGCTATGGCTTTGTGGTCGCTGCAAGAAGAAGCTCGGGTACTACAAGATGATCGAGAGCCACAGGGAGCACACCAAGAACGAACCTGAACACGAAACATATCAAAGAGGCAGAGGCAGTCAATGGAAGAGGGTGTGCATAGATTGCGAGCTGGAGTTCAGGCAGGAGGAGTGGATCGAGTGGTGCGACGAGGAGAAGATACGACATGGAGGAGAGCAGTACATTACGAGGGAGCAAGTATGCCCCGAACAGAAGAGGAAAGCTAAAGGAGACGCGTTGGCAGCCCAATCCATGAGGCAGATCCAGACGGCGAAGGCGCTCATTGGAGCGGAAGAAGGACCTGAGACAAAGTCTCGCAATCAGAGGAACTAGATGGTCATCGGGAGGCCCAAGGAGATGTCAAAGGCAGTGCTGGAGGGCATCAAAATGAATGGGGGGGTACCTTCGCAGCCTTCAGCAAAGCAGGAGAAGGCGCGGCAGATGCCTTAAGATGTGCTGGAGAATACGACATCCTTCTGGACAAGTATACGGCCATGGACGCCAATGGCGAAGAAGCGCTGAATGCAGCCAAGATGGAACTGGAGGAAACAGAGAAGGAGCTGCGCGAGAGGGGCGACTACAAGATGATCGAGAGCCACAGGGAGCACACTAAGAACGAGCCTGAACACGAAAAAAATCAAAGGGACAGAGAAGGTCAATGGAAGAGGGTGTGCGTAGACTGCGAGCTGGAGTTCAGGCAGGAGGAGTGGATCGAGTGGAGCGGCGAGGAGAGGATACGACATGGAGGAGAGCAGTACATTACGAAGAAGCAAGTATGCCCCGAACAGAAGAGGAAAGCTGAAGGAGACGCGTTGGCAGCCCAGCCCATGGGGCAGATCCAGACGGCGAAGGCGCTCATTGAAGCCGAAGAAGGACCTGAGACAAAGTCTCGCAATCAGAGGAACTAGATGGTCACCGAGAGGCCCAAGGAGATGTCAAAGGCAGAGCTGGAGGGCAACAACATGAATGGGGGGGTACTTTCGAAGCCTTCAGCAAAGCAGGAGAAGGCACGGCAGATGCCTTAAGATGCGCCGAAGAATACGACATCCTTCTGGACAAGTATACGGCCATGGACGTCAATGGCGAAGAAGCGCTGAATGCAGCCAAGATGGAACTGGAGGAAACAGAGAAGGAGCTGCGCGAGAGGGGCGACTACAAGATGATCGAGAGCCACAGGGAGCACACTCAGAACGAGCCTGAACCCGAAAAATACAAAAGAGGTAGAGGAGGTCAATGGCAGAGGGTGTGCATAGACTGCGAGCTGGAGTTCAGGCAGGAGGAGTGGATCGAGTGGAGCGGCGAGGAGAGGATACGACATGGAGGAGAGCAGTACATTACGAAGAAGCAAGTATGCCCCGAACAGAAGAGGAAAGCTGAAGGAGACGCGTTGGCAGTCCAATCCACGGGGCAGATCCAGACGGCGAAGGCGCTCATTGAAGCCGAAGAAGGACCTGAGACAAAGTCTCGCAATCAGAGGAACTGGATGGTCATCGAGAGGCCCAAGGAGATGTCAAAGGCAGAGCTGGAGGGCATCAAAATGAATGGGGGGGGGGGGGGGGGGGTACCTTCGAAGCCTTCAGCAAAGCAGGAGAAGGCACGGCACATGCCTTAAGATGCGCTGAAGAATACGACATCCTTCTGGACAAGTATACGGCCATGGACGTCACTGGCGAAGAAGCGCTGAATGCAGCCGGGATGGGCCTGGAGGAAACAGAGAAGGAGCTGCGCGAGAGGGGCGACTACAAGACGGCGAAGAACATGGGGGACACAGAAAAAGTATTTCAAGGCGCTGGACTTCGTGGACAAGTGGATCGACAGCATGCAGCTGTTCAACGTGCGCAGGAGAAACGCAGGAGGGGGCGCGAAGAAGGGCGCCGCCTGCTCGCGCGGACTTGCCTTCCCTAAAAAGCTGCGGCGGCAAGGCCCTGGCCCGAACTCGAGGGGGGGCTGGTGGAAGTTCCGGCGCGAAGTGGGCTGGGCGCAGCTGATGAAGGCGCAGGAGAACCACCCGGAAGACGAGCTAGAGCTGGCGGAGAAAATGAAAGGCGATTTCGGCAAAGACTGCGAGAAGTGCCCCGACATCGGGCGCAAATCGATGTCCCACCCGTACAAGAGGGGGGCTTCAATGGCGGCGGAGCTCGAGGTTGGAGAAAAGTGGGACGCGTTTGTAGCGGACAGTCTGCCGCAGAAGCTAGACGACGCCATCAAGGAGAACCGCTGCAAGGTCTCCAACGCAGATGGGCCCAGAGGAGCTGCTCGAGCTGATCCCAATGTCTTCCCCGATGACGTGCCAGGTCGGGGGCTGCGCGCTAATCGCAGGGCGCCCAGTTGACGCGCGGGGAAGAGCTGGGGGGGGGGGAAGGCCTTCACTGCATTGAGCTGGCGTGAGTCGGCGCTGAAGATCTCGAAGAACGACTGGGAGAACCTTTACAGCGCCGTGAAGGTTGCTTTGGAGGAGATGAAGAACGAGGACACACTCGACCCTGAGGGGGTAAAGAGGCACAAACAGCGCCATCAGCTACGGGGCTGTACGAAGACCCTGCTTGACGGTGTGCCGAGATCTTCGAACAGTGCGCCAAGTCGGAGGGGGTGGCCAGCTCCAGCGGCCGCATGTGAGAGAGCCAACTGGCAACGCCAAGAGGCGCGTTAGCGAGGATCTCCCGGAGGGCGACTCTAGGCAGGCAGGGCGGGCCGAGTCAGGGGGGCCATCGCTAGCGGGGACATCTCGGCGCGAGGGCCCTCAAGAGAGTGCTCGCACAGACGACGTCATGGAAAGTGATTGTTTGGAGCGCCGACAAGTGCACTATTGCAGGGGGTGAGGATGGAAAACATGAGATACGCACGGAGGCCACCAGAGCGCATCCTCGAGGGCCCCGCAGAAACAGGAGGACTGGAGGAAGACATGTAAACCAATCTCCAACATGCCGCGACTATCAGCATGCCTTCCCCTACCAACACTTCGAGGGGGTATAGTGGGATGCTACTGCAGGGCATCAGGATGCAGATGCGACACCGCTTGGGGCAACCATCGGCCAGTACGCTCTGGAAGAGAAGTGGGCCGAGAGAGAGAGAGGAGATAATAGGATAGAAGTATAACTCGGCCCCCCAGCAAAAGTTTGGAAAGCTAGGGCCTCCCGGTTCCCCTCCCCTTCTCCTTTTGCGAGGTCGCGCCGTCGTCTCTTCCCTGCCACGTTTGGGAGCCCTGCTCGCCCAACATGTCTCCAATTCCACGGGCGCGCGAGAGGGCCGACAGCTGCTCCCCCCGCACTGACCCGCAGGGACTCGCACTCACAATGTCACTCACTCTCTGAGCTCGCCCCTTGAAGTTTCGGGGCGTGCCCCCAGCCGGCCCTAGTGAAAAATCAGGGCTGCTGCACAACCGAACTTGCAGGGGATTTTGCCAGGCGCGCGCAAGGCACCAGTACAAGTGTCGACGTTGACACCCTCATGCGAATGTCCTGTCCTGTATTGTGTCCTGTCCTCCTCCTCCTCCTCCATCCTCCTCCTCCCCCTCCTCCTCCTCATCCTCCTGGTTATTCTTCATAGTCCTCTTATTATTAGTATGTTTGCTTATGGTTATGCTTCGTTGTTTCTTCCTCCTCCTCCTCCTCCTCCTTCTCCTCCTCCTCGCCATCTCGCCCTCCTCACCACCCACTCTCATCCTCCTGAACCTCCCCAGCAGTTGTTGGTGTTGAGCGTTGCGCTGGATGTAGGCCCGCCGACCGGTCAGCTTCTCCTCATCTTGCTTATGTTCGTAATTTCTCGTTTTTTCATCATCATCATCACCACCATCATCAGCAACAGCACCATCATCAGCATCATCATTATCGACATCGCCATCGTCGCATGAGCATGAGTGTAATCAGCATCATCATCACCATCCATATCATCATCATCATCATCATCATCACCATCATCATCATCATCATCATCATCACTATCACCATCCGCATCATTATCAACAGCGCCTTTTTTTCATCAGCATCGCCATCATCATCACCATCATCATCACCACCATCATCACCAACATCATCAACAACGGTTTCGGCGAGGAGCGCGGGTGCCGATGGCGTTCCCTGGCTCTCGTGGCATCGCTCGGACGTGCGCATTTGTTCCCAACCATCCGGTGGTGGTGGGTCATCGTTTTGAAAAGGCGGTATCCGTGTTCCTGATGTCCTCTCCTATCGTTTCCCCCCTCCCTCCCTCCTCCTCCTCCTCCTCCTC